ATGCCATGTAACTCAGATGCAAGATATTAAACAATCTGACAAACATTTTTTGTTTTATTCAGGTATATATATCATGAACTATCAATTGGCTCTTGTCAGTCAGAGCGACAAATTTCCGGAGATATTTTTTGTTTCTGCGGGATTAACCAAATCAGAATAACTTATCCCCCTGAATGCAAACTCCCACCTGTAGTAATAAAAACAATGCATACATATGCATCATCTATATGAAGTAAACTTTAGGGGAATATTATGGTGAATTTATTCTGTGAAGCAAAGCAAGCTTCTTTCTTGAAGAAGTGTAGCTAAGTACAAATGATACTGAAGTTCATCTTGAATTATTGAGGGAAAAAAGGAACTGAAAATTCATGTTGCACTCCATAATGTCTGTATTTGATTCCCCAAAACAAATTTAACAGATTGTTTTAAAAAAAATTCATTGTCAGGATTGGTTTTCTATTCACCGCGGTTGTCACTGGCATATTTGGTTTTCTCAGTGCTTTGTCACCTAACTACATGTGCCTATTAACCCTCCGCTTTATTGTCGGTATGGGATTGGGTGCTGGTCATGTTCTTGGTACATGGTTCCTAGAGTTTGTTCCTGCTGCAAACAGGGGTACTTGGGTGGTTGTCTTCCATTGTACTTGGACTTTTGGAACAATCCTTCAGGCTCTTATTGCATGGGTATTATTTTTTAATTTCCCTGCCCTTTAGGGCCCAATTATCAGTTTGCACTGTCAATTTACAATTTCACATATTTGTCAGCCTACACTATTTATTAGTGCTATTCTAGGTTTTCTTCTTTTAATATTAAAAGCAGGAAAGTATCCTAGAGAATAACTATTTAACAGTAAAAAGGTGACTTGTTTAATAGTAATCCTAGTCTCCTGGATCTTAACAGTAATGTTTAATGTGCCATATAATACATTTCAGAATGTTTTCCATGTCTTTGTTCTGTTAGTAAAAAGTTATTTCCCATCATTAAGAATCAGCACTTGACCAGAGGAAACACAAATATGGTTGGAAATTGGAACTGCTCGTGACATCTATGCTTATTGCAGGCTATCATGCCAGTACTTGGATGGAGGTGGTTGATAGCGTTGTCTTCAACACCATGTTTCATTCTGCTTATTTTCTATGGTATAACACCTGAATCACCACGGTACCTCTGCTCAAGAGGTAGAACAGCTGATGCTCAATTTATTTTGGAGAGAATAGCAATAATGAACAACATGGCTCTGCCCTCTGGCACCTTAATAGTTGCCCCACAAAGAAGGTCTGATGATGTTGTTGATGCGGAGACAATAGTACCGCTGATTCTTTCACAAGATAGTGCTGCAACTGACGTTTGCATGAGCTCCTCTATATCCAGATCTATTAATGCATTCCGTACACTTGTGTCACGAAGCCTGATTAGATCTACACTTCTTCTTTGGTTTGTCTACTTTGCCTTTTGTTTTGCTTACTATGGTATAGTATTGCTAACATCGGAACTAAGCAATGGTGGAAGGAGATGTGGACCTGTTGGAATGCATTTGTGGCAGCGAAATGATGCCAGACTCTACAGAGATGTCCTGGTGACAAGTATTGCGGGTAAGTGCGTAAAAAGCTTCTGACAAATAGCCAATTATTATCTTCCATCTTGTATTAATTTTTTTTATCTATTTATTTCTACCATTGATTCACCGAGTTTGGTTAACAAATGTGATCATAGACCTTTCTGTCACAGGCTCACAGCTCATTTGCATGCACAGACACGTGTATACAATTAGATATCAATGAGTGATCTAAAAAATGGTGGATATTCAAGGGGGTGGGAGATAGAGTATTGCTCTTGATTTGGAAGCGTCTTCGCCCTATACCTGTTTAATCTCTGAATGTTTGGATTAAAAACTGGTTTCAGGATTACTGGAACAATACCATTTCCTAAATCAATAAGATTTATTAATTAAATAGCTAAAGCTTTGGTTTATTCCATGACAGAATTTCCTGGTCTGATTTTGGCGGCTCTATTTGTTGACAAAGTTGGTCGCAAACTGTCAATGGGAGCGTTTGCTTTTCTGTGCCTTGTTTCCATCGCACCACTTGCTGCACCTCTAGAAGAAGGTTTAGCAACCGTCCTTCTATTCAGTGCCCGGACTTGTATCACAGGAAGTTATGCTGTTCTCTATATTTACGGCCCTGAGGTTAGTATAGATATCTGTAGTATCATTGTATATGATGATATGTTTAACTTATGCGATCACCAACTGGTAATACATGCTTGAAAACTGAAATTGCAATGTCACTGTCTACGAGAAAACAAGGGACATAATTTACCTAGTAGCCAAGTACAAATTTCTCAATGCCATTTTTTTGAAGATATAATGACACGAAATAGTTGCAACCAATTTTCATGTTCCCCACGGCTTTCCATCACATCTTTATATTTGTTAAATATTCTCCTATATTAACTATATTTGGACTATGTAATACAGTACCAAGAAGGATAAAGAACTCCGGTAATGAGAACAACTCCGCATCCATTTTTCAACATAAAAATCTGCAATGTAGTGACACATCTTCATAACATTAGAAATAGGTCAATAGTACTTCACTTTAAGTGTTCATGAGTCATGATGCGTTCTGGCGCTAATCTGACACAGTTAGCACTCACTACTCAGAAATACATAGAGATGTGCAATGTAGAACACAGCCGGCAAACACTTATTCCTTGCATATTACTCTTGTCCAGATCTACCCTTCATCATGTCGGAACACCGGAGTGGGTGTCGCGACTTCTCTCGGCCGGATAGGTGGCATGATTGCCCCACTCATAGCTGTAGGATTGCTAGAGAGCTGTCATCAGAAAGAAGCTGTGTTTGTCTTCGATCTTGTACTCTTTCTTGCATCAGTTGCCTGTGCCCTCTTCCCTCTAGAGACCAAAGGCTGCCAGATTCAGTAAGATCTCAGGCTCCACAATTTTTATGGATGGATGTATACCCACCCATCAGATTAGATTACAGCTACCATACAACTACATTTGCCAGGAAGCATCATATTGCCCCTACTTTAGAGCGCAATTATTGTACAAATACTTCTGAAATAAATGAAATGGAAATCCTCCAACTTCTCACCGCTCATTCAATCAATATGTCAAATCCTGGCTCATAGCAGTTCTCCTTTCTGTCAAATTATGACACGATTTTCTGTTCTGGAAGTTGAAACTCCAATTACATGTAAGTGCACTTCCGAGCATACTGTATGTTGACATACTTGTCTTGTCATAGGAGGAGATGTTTGATTCCTCGTGTAAAATGCTTACCTGTCGGCAAATCCTTATTTTAACACTGTCTTATTTTTTTTTCTCTATTTGACAAAAATATTTTTCTTCTTTATCTAAAGTTGAGTCTAAATTTTATGCCCTTTATAACATTTCCGTCTATTTTGTCTGAAAAGACCTTTTTCGCGAACCAACCTATGGTTGGATGGCAGGAGGACAGTGGTATCCCCAGTCCACCAGGGTTCAAGTCCTGGTGCTCGCATTTATCATGGATTTAGCCTAGGAACCTCGTTGAGAAAGTACTTCGATGGATAGCATCGCCGTACAAGGACTCTAGGGCATCTCCAACGCCGACACGCAAACCGCCTGCATACGTCCACAGCCGGTGTCTTGCCTTCTCGCTGGCCATCATCGTCCCCTTACCCAAAAACCAACCCTGGTCCGTGCAGCGTAGGGACCCTTCCCCTCCGACTGAAGCATCAGGCGACAGGAAGCGAGCCGTCCTTTCCGCTGAAGCATATACCTCCGGAGCTCACCGCTGCCGGTCATGGGAACAACGTTGGAGATCGGCCGCGGTAGTTGAAAATATGTCCAAAATCTATCCGTTTTTCATCCGGTTTGTATATAGGAAACCAACTAATGTATTACACTACTAGTATGGCTGTCGAACCAATGGCCGTGAAAGGCCATTCAAGCCGACTCATACCACCAAGCCGAAGATTGCTCATACCTCCAAGCAGAAGATTGAAGATAGGGGAGTGGAGACAGCAACTGGAGACGGTATAGCGATGAGGAAGAAAGGGAGAACGGAGGAGTCGCCGACAGGGACGACGAGGTACGTCAGGGCGTTGGGGAGATGAGCATGATGGGGTCCCTTGCCTAGATGGATTCAAGGATGCACTGCTGGTGGAGATGGACTCCAGCGGCCCGGCTCCTCTTGACCGGGGGCGGCGGCAGCAGATCTCATGGGCGGGGATGGTTGAAGGAGACGAGGGCGTCAGGAGCAAGAGGATTTGGCAAATGACGGCTTCCAGGTCAGGATTTGGTTTACATAATGTTTCAGACATATGGCATAGAGGAATGAATTTCGATGCCCAATTCCTGTCGGAATTCGCAATTGAATTCCACCAATTCTGGCCCAAATGATGGGTTCCAAACAACCTGTAACAGAATTTTGAAGGACTGATGATTTTTCTCATGAAATACAGAGTTGAACTATTGCTCAAAGGGTGGTTAATTGATAGTGCTCTTTAGAGTTCTTGGTCACTGGGCTGAACAGCTTAAAAATACTTCTTTCAAATTGTTCAAAGGGTGGTTAATGGTTTGGGAAATACATCAGATGAAACTCGTTAAATGTGTATCACGCTCAAAAGGAAAACTTGCATACGTCCACATATAGCACACTACTTTACTGAAAAGGGAAATGATAACAGAGATGACAACTTTTGTCCTTTTTGTACATGGCAACACTCTTTAGTCGTAGAAATAAAATAAAAAATGATTGAGTATATTTTCAAACTATCAATGTTGTCCAGTAGTCCAAGACGTGTTGCCACCATATCCAGGTATACATATTTGTATAAAAGTGGCCACTAAACCATGTAAAAGCATATGTTGGTATAAAAAGCAAGCATATGGAATCTACGATTCTAAAGTAGCTCCTTCAACTGTTGGACATCATCTGCAATTGCAACAGATTAGTGTTGTCAATCCAAAGATAAAATATGCTCACACTGCGACTGAGAGCACCAAGTTACCTTGAACAATATGTGGTGTCGTTTTGAACTCATGCCAGAAATTTTGGTGAAAGGTTATGTCATAGCGGAGGAATTTTCCAGCAAGGAATGCAGCTCCAGCCGCAATATGATGAGGTTTGAACTGAAGCCAAAGAGAACTCCGAAGCCTGTATTACAAAAATAATTAATATAGATGGATAACACAAACAGAAATGAACACTATTAAGAGAGCTGGACAAACCATTGATTAGTGGAACCATGTCAATGAAAAATAAGGTCATTTTTTTGTCATGTTTATATGAAATCCGCTTGTGTTTGCATGAATTTCATCTTGTTTGTTGAAAACGAGTTTGAAATGTATGCGGTTACGGTTGGATGGCGGCCTCCCGCATCCGTGTTCGCGGACGGGTGCGGGAGGAAATTTGCGAGTTACCGTTGGAGATGCCTTTAGCCAACATGCATGAGGGTAAATGTGTCTTTTTACATGCAATTTAGCAGCGGAGAAATGGATGGAAGTGTCATAAAGAGCATAAATTTAGAATCAATGTTATTTAAGGAAGAAAAAAGTTTTCAGTATCAAATAAGAAAACAAAATTTAATACAGTGTTAAGTAAGGAATGCTTTCAACCATGTAATAAGGAGTATCTGGCATGAGCATGAATGTATACCAATGTTGGATGAGTCATTTCAGATTATCATTGATATGATTTGTTAATTTTGAAGAAAACGGCACCCGCCCCTGGCTCCATTTTGCCGTTCTTCACATCCCACGCGGAGGTCAGCAGGGGTACTGCCTCAGCAGAAACAAATATAAACGAAAAGGAAGTCTAGGGCTAAATGCCCACAACGACAAAATGACAACCGAAAGGGAAACACCTCAACACCAAAGCAGTCTTTATTTTTCACCACACTCCGAAGCATTTTTGTTCGGTTCTGCATCTTCAGCGGTCCAAGAGAGCACCAGGTTTTTCTTTCTTCCTGGTAACGAGGGCACTCAAAAGCTGACTATTTAACAAAGAAAAAACTACCACTTTTCAGGCTCCCACTGGACTACTCCCTCTGTCCCATGACACTACACTAGTGTAAAAAACGTTCTTATATTGTAGAACGGAGGGAGTACCATTTTACAATTTTTCCTGTAAAACTATGAAATGGGTTCTATTTTTTGGCTAAAAACTACCAGCTTTTGTTACGTACCGGTTCAGCTTGTTTAAGCTGGATTATGAAATGCCTGCCCCACCAGTCAGGGTGGCACAAAATGTCAACTCCACTACTCTCCGAATATAGTCGTCCAATATATTGATCTTTACGTCTCGACCATTTCGAGACTCCTCGTCATGTCCCCGATCTCATCCAGTACTCCGAACTCCTTCGGTACATCAAAACTCATAAACTCATAATATAACTGTCATCGAAACCTTAAGCGTGCGGACCCTACGGGTTCGAGAACTATGTAGACATGACCTAGAACTATTCTCGGTCAATAACCAATAGCGGGACCTGGATGCCCATATTGGCTCCCACATATTCTACGAAGATCTTTATCGGTCAAACCGCATAACAACATACGTTGTTCCCTTTGTCATCGGTATGTTACTTGCCCGAGATTCGATCGTCGGTATCCAATACCTAGTTCAATCTCGTTAATGGCAAGTCTCTTTACTCGTTACGTAATGCATCATTCCGTAACTAACTCATTAGTTACATTGCTTGCAAGGCTTATAGTGATGTGCATTACCGAGAGGGCCCAGAGATACCTCTCCGACAATCGGAGTGACAAAACCTAATCTCGAAATACGCCAACCCAACATGTACCTTTGGAGACACCTGTAGTACTCCTTTATAATTACCCAGTTACGTTGTGATGTTTGGTAGCACCCAAAGTGTTCCTCCGGTAAACGGGAGTTGCATAATCTCATAGTTACAGGAACATGTATAAGTCATGAAGAAAGCAATAGCAACATACTAAACGATCATGTGCTAGGCTAAGGGAATGGGTCATGTCAATCACATCATTCTTCTAATGATGTGATCCCGTTAATCAAATGACAACTCATGTCTATGGCTAGGAAACACAACCATCTTTGATCAACAAGCTAGTCAAGTAGAGGCATACTAGTGACACTATGTTTGTCTATGTATTCACACATGTATTATGTTTCCGGTTAATACAATTCTAGTATGAATAATAAACATTTATCATGAAATAAGGAAATAAATAATAACTTTATTATTGCCTCTAGGGCATATTTCCTTCAGTCTTCCACTTGCACTAGAGTCAATAATCTAGTTCACATCGCCATGTGATTTAACACTAATATTCATATCTGTATATGATTAACACCCATAGTTCACATCGTCATGTGTTCAACACCCAAAGGGTTTACTAGAGTCAATAATCTAGTTCACATCGTTTATGTGATTGACACCCAAAGAGTACTAAGGTGTGATCTTGTTTTGCTCGTGAGAGAAGCTTAGTCAACGGGTCTGTCACATTCAGAGCCGTATGTATTTCGCAAATATTCTATGTCTACAATGCTCTGCACGGAGCTACTCTAGCTAATTGCTCCCACTTTCAATATGTATCCAGATTGAGACTTAGAGTTATCTGGATCGGTGTAAAAGCTTGCACCAATGTAACTCTTTACGACGGGCTCTTTTATCACTTCCATAATCGAGAAATATTCCCTTAGTCCTCACTAAGGATATTCTTGACCAATGTCCAGTGATCTACTCCTAGATCACTATTGTACTCCCTTGTCAAATACAGAGCAAGGTATACAATAGGTCAGGTACATAGCATAGCATACTTTATAGAATCTATGACTGAGGCATAGGGAATGACTTTCATTCTCTTTTCTATTTTCTGCCGTCGTCGGGATTTGAGTCTTACTCAATTTCACACCTTTGCAACACAGGCAAGAACTCTTTCTTTGACTGTTCCAT